GCGCTCGGCTTTGCCTTGCACGCGAGTGGGAAGGGAAGGTGAGGAGTTGGCTTTCGGGAGCACGAGGGACCACGTGGGTGGAGGATCGCTCAGAGAGTCAGGTGGACAAAGGCTTAGCGGTGCGGGAGGAGGAGACAGGTGAGCTTTCCCAGCACAGGAGGAATGTGAGGCGTGAAGAGGGTGGCGGGAGGTCTCACTCGGAGCAGCCTCGCTCTCCCACAGCACTCAGGTTCATGGAGTACAACGGGCTTTTCCTTTGGGGTCTTTCTGTACCACGTCACTTACAAGCCTCCGATGCCATGTGCTCGCCCACCAGTTACTGCCTTGTCTGAACATTCTTGGTGACGTTTTAGGACGAGGCAGGAAACCTGACCCCACTCCACCGTGGCACCCGTGGCAGTCCCCTCCCCTTGGGTTCAGGCTGGATCTCTCTTCCCACTGCTGACGGACGGACTCTCCAGGGACTGGGTGGGCGGACCTCTGCACCTCTTGCCCATTAGCTGGCAGTTAGGCTGACAGCCCTGGCGGGAATGCACAGGACTTGTTCACTTTGCGGGTGTTTATCAGACTCTTGGGGTTCAGGAGGTGCAATCAGATATTGGAGAGTTCATTGTCCACAGCACGTCTGTCTAACTGAGGGACGTTTACGTGTGGCAGAGGCTGATGCCCCCCAAGGCAGCCCCGCTCTGGGCTAGAGCTTGGTCGTGGGTGAATAAACAGAAAGCTGAGGAGTCAGACAAGCGCTATCGGTAGGAGACGCTCCCGGTTAGGCGGTTAGGGATGTCTTGTCCATTTTGACAGTGACCACAGTGGGACAGGCTCAGGCCCAGGGTGCCCTATTCCAAGCCCTCCCTTGCTCTAGGCTGACCGGCACACAAATGGTGCGCCTGCTCACGCTGCGTTTTCTGGTCACCCTGGTAGAGCTGCCACAGGCTGAAGTCCTGGGGAAGGGGTTCGCGATGGGCTCACTCACAAGGACGGGGGGTGCCAGTTGGCAGGCCCTGTGGGCACGGCGGGGCAGCCGAGCCGGGATACCCAGCCCAGGCCCTCACCGCCTGCTGCCCACTGCTCAGGTCTGTTCTTCAGCACGCATGTGGGGAGCCGCAGAACCTCACCCCGGGCCTGCCGTCCGCCTGTCTGCTGCCGGATTCTGTTCCTTTGATTTGCCTTTTTTCTGAAAGTTTGGGAGAACTTTTTCACTTACCCTGCCCAGCACTTTAGCACTTGGTAGATAGGTCCTTTGAATTTAAAGATTCTTGTCTTTCGGCAGCTCTGGGAAATGGTCCATTATTTTTGGATCAACTAGTCAACCAGATGTTATTGGGCAAACATTGACCACGACTACTGAATTCAATCTATCATCCATCCTTCCATCTGTCCACCCACCTGTGGCCAGAGCTGTGCCACCTGGGGCTGGGGTGGCCAGTCGCTCCTGCAGAAGCAGCCTGGTGTAAACCCTCCCTGAGACTGCGTGACTGGTGACTTGTACCAGAACTTTCTCTGTCCACTGGGGCCTGAGCACATGGCCTGTGTCCCCTGAGTTGTGGGGGTGGAGCTGGGGTCTTCCCTTTGTTTTGGTTGCTGTAGGATCCTTCTGCTATTTCTTCCAGTTTTTTTCTTTCTTTTTTGAGTCAAAGGAGGCCAAACATCCCACCAAATACTAAGATCTGGCTGCAATTTCAGCCACCTCCCAGGTTCTCCAGAGAGAACTCGGTGTTGTCCACATGATCCACAACGTAAGTCACACGACCCCAAGTTTACTCTGCAGATTTGGGGAAATCTTTTCTGGCTGCCCTTTGTGGTGATTCCGCCAGATGGTGTGTTTTCTTCCCCTCTGTCTGCACTTCTCCACTCTCTTTTGTTGTTGTTTTTAATCCTCACCCATGGATATTTTTCTGTTTATCATCAGATACAGTGGGAGAGAGTGAGGGAGGGAGGGAGAGAGGGAGAGAGAGAAACATCCACCTGAGAGAGACACATGACTAGTTGCCTCCTGCACCACCCACCAGGTACGTGCCCTTGACCAGAATCGAACCCGAGACTCATTGGTCCGCGGGCCCACGTTCTAACAGCTGAGCCAAACTGGCCAGGGCTCTTTTTTTTTTTAATTCTCACCTGAGGATATTTTTCCACTTATCTTCAGATAGATAGATAGATTGCGAAAGAGAGAGAAAGAGAGAGAGAGAGAGAGCCTGAGGGAAAGAGGGAGGCGGGGAGAGAGAGAAACATCCACGTGAGAGGGACACATCTACTGGTTGCTTCCCACTCGACCCCGACCAGGGGCAGGGACACACCGCAACCCGAAACCGAGGTACGTGCCCTTGACCTGAACTGAACCTGCGACTCTTTAATCGCTGAGCCAAACCCGCCAGGACTCCACTCGGAGCCCTTGGCCGACCCTCCTGGTCTCAGCTTGTCTGCGGTCCGTCTCCCCGTCTCTGGCCCTGCCCTGCTGTGGGGCCGCCTGCTGCTCCAGCCCTGTTGCCGCGGTGCTCGCAGACTGTGCGCACGGGTGCCCTGTTGGCGGCAGCCTTCCTTCAGGCTGGGTCTGTTTGAACCTGTGTGTCCTGATTAGGGTTTCGGGAGTCCCTGTGGGAGTCCCCACTGGCTGAGGAGATGGCAGCCAGGCACTGAGGGGCTGCTTTGGAGAAGAGTTTGTTTTGACTGCTGAGTTTGAGGTGCTCCTGAGCTTGCAGGGCAGACTGGCCTTGGGGTGGGTCCATTTCCCAGGGAAATGGGGGGAGAGCTTGGGGTCAAGCACCCATACCTTGGGGGGGGTGTTGAAGTTCAGAGAGGAAATGGGTCCTGAAGGGAGAAGGGACAGGGGCCCAGACAAGAGGGCCTGGCCTGGGTTGAGGGGCTGACAGCACTGTCCGCGGAGTTCCGCGTGGGGGCTGTGACGTGGAGGGTGCCTCTGGGTGTGCTGTGCGCCCCAGGCACCTGGGAGGTGCTGTCCAGGCTTCGGGTGCGAGCGGCAGGCGCAGTGGGCGGCGCTGCGCAGCTGGGGAGCCAGTGCCCTTGGGCAGCGGTGGTCCTCAGCAGCCTGCTCGTATGGAGACGCCCCTCATGTGGCAGCGCTGTGCCTGGCCCAGTCTGTTGGGGCTCGGAGACACTGTTGAACAGCAGGCAAGGGCTCAGCACCAGCGAGGACAGGTGGTGGATCAGGTGGAAGAGGGACCCTTTCAGGATAAAAGCGTGGCGAGGGTGTTGGTTGTTGGCATTAAACAGCCCAGAAGTGGCCTTGGTGGGCTGATAATCGGCCAGCTCATCTTCTGTGCTGTTGTGGGGACCCACTGTGTAGGGAAGACAGTTCCCAGGTCGGTCTGGGTCAGGGGCTGAGCAGAAAGAGTGACTGGGGACTCGGGAGAGCTTCTCAGGGGTCAGGTGACAGGCTGCTGGGATGGATTGGAGGAGGCGAGGTGGCCGACACGCAGGGACAGTCGGCTTGTGTCCTGGTGTGTGTGTGTCTGTGTGGAAGATGTGTTGGGTGTATTTTCCCCAAGGGGGATGTTGGGGCCGTGGTGCCTGGTGGGTGCTCGGCACCAGGGGCAGTGCCAGGCTGTGGTTGGACATAGCTGCTGGGACAGATGGCTTTGGGGGCGGGTCTGCTGGTGGGCGGGTCCCAGTCAGAGGAGGTGGCATCGTGCCACCAGACTCCTGCACTGGGGGCCAGGCAGTGTCCCCAGTGGTGGAGGGCCTGTGGAAGTGGACAGTGCCTGCCCCCTCAGACCCAAGGCTTGCTCTCAGAACCCCTTTGTGTGGGTAGAGAAAGCTGAGAACAGCCCAGGTTCCCATCCACCTCTGACACTGATTGGCTGTGCAGCCCTAGATAAGTTACTTGGCTTCTCTGTGCCTCCATTTCCTCATCTGCAAAATGGGGATAATAATCGTATCTGCTTTATGTGATGTTGCTGTGGACACACAAGTGAATGTGTGTGAAGGCCTGAGGCCCCGCCCATGCCGCGGGCCCTGCGAGGCTCCCACTGGTGTGAGCATCGTCTTGTGCTGTTCCTGGGCTCTCCGCGCCGGCTCAGTGTGCCGGGCGCTCTCTGCCCCTGTCTCAGCCTCTCCCTCCCGTCACGCCTCATGCACAGTTCTCTATTGCTTTGGTCTTTGGCCCATGCTCAGCCACCCAGGGCCCATGGCACTAATGTCTAATGTTTGGTGGCACAACACTGGAGAGCCAAGTGTCGTGCTCACAAAACATCCCCTCTACGTGGGTAGATGCAGCTGAGCTGCCTTGATGGCCTGAGTTGCGCACACTGCCTGTCACCTCTGCCTGGAATGGCTTTCCCGTCTTGTCTGCCGGGGTCATCTGCTCCTCCAAGGCACCGAGGGTACAGCTGGGGTCGGTACTCGCTTCACTCCGCAGTGGTGGCTGCGTGCCTCATCCTGGTCCTCCCACTCTGGGCATGCCGGGACCCTCCCTGTGGTTTCCGAGTCTGGGGCACTGCCTGGCATGGGGTGGGCACTCACTTCTGGCTGATGAGTGGAGGAATTCATCAGAATGGGACTGTCTCTCTCTTTTTTTTTTATCCTGAGGACATTTTTGTATTTATATTCAGACAGAGCAGGAGGGAAAGAGGGAGGAAGAGAGAAAGAGAAACATCAATGTGAGAGAGACACATCGAGTGGTTGCCACCAACATGACCCCAAACGGGGTCTGGGACAAACTGTAACCAATGTACATACACTTAGCGGGAACCGAACCCGGGACTCTCCGTTCCATGGGCTGATGCTCTAACTGCTGGGTATATGTCCCAACTGGGGATCGAACCTGCCACCTGCGTATATGTCCCGACTAGGGATTGAACCTGCCACCTGCTTATATGTCCTGACTGGGGATCGAACCAGCAACATTTAGGTGCATGGGATGATGCTCAACCAACTGAGCCACACTGGCCAGGGCATGAGATATCTTTTTATGTTTAGGTAATGCCAGTAAGCAATAGAGATCTGGGCTCTTAATAATGAGCTGTTTGTTTTTCTTCCTTAGGGCATTATTTCAAGAAAAACTATGGCAGCATCAAGCCTTCTGTGAGCCATGGGTCCCTCGGAGTAGGAAACTATGCTCCTGGAGACACGTTGAGATGTACAGAGCGGGGGACACAGTGGAGCGCCTGCCACAGGGGACGGCGCCCCCTCGCCTGAGGAGCGTGGAGGTTGCCAGGGGAAGAGCAGGGTACGGGTTCACCCTTTCGGGCCAGGCGCCCTGTGTGCTCAGCTGTGTCATGAGAGGGAGCCCTGCCGATTTTGTGGGCCTCCGCGCTGGAGACCAGATACTCGCTGTCAATGAAATCAACGTGAAGAAAGCGTCCCACGAGGACGTGGTCAAGCTCATTGGGAAATGCTCTGGGGTCCTGCACATGGTGGTGAGCGAAGGCCTCGGCCACGTGGAGTCGTGCTCCAGTGATGAGGAAGTGGGATTCTGCGAAGGGAAAGGCTGGCGGAAGGCCAAGCTTGATTCCAAAGCATTGGGGATAAACAGAGCAGAGAGAGTGGTCGAGGAAATGCAGTCGGGGGGCATTTTCAGTATGATCTTTGAAAACCCCCGTCTTCGAGCACGCGGCCCGGAGCCCCCGAAGTGGAAGCAGCGGTCCCTTTCAGAGTCCGCTGCTGCGCGGCTTGACCTTGGACACGAAGGTGCAGATGACCCGCACCCCGGCTTGCTTTCCAAGGAGGAAATTTCAAAAGTTATTAACAATGATTCGGTTTTCAGTGTTGGAGTAGAGAACCACGAAGATTTTGGATTAGATGCAAGTATTTTAAATGTCGCCATGGTCGTCGGCTACTTAGGTTCTATTGAACTTCCTTCCACAAGCTGCAACCTGGAGTCCGACAGCTTCCAGGCCATCCGTGGCTGCCTGCGGCGCCTGCGGGCCGAGCAGAAGATCCACTCGCTGGTGACCATGAAGATCATGCACGACGGCGTGCAGCTGTGCACCGACAAGGCCGCTGTCCTGGCCGAGTACCCCGCTGAGAAGCTGGCCTTCAGTGCCGTGTGCCCAGACGACAGGAGGTTTTTTGGGCTTGTGACCATGCAGAGCAGCGATGATGGCGGCCTGGCGCAGGAGGATGAGGGTGTCTTGCGGACTTCCTGCCACGTGTTTATGGTGGATCCAGACTTGTTCAGTCACAAGATACATCAGGGCATTGCCCGGCGGTTTGGGTTTGAGTGCACAGCCGACCCTGACACCAATGGCTGCCTGGAGTTCCCTGCATCCTCCCTCCCCGTCCTCCAGTTCATCTCCGTGCTGTACAGGGACATGGGCGAGCTGATCGAGGGCGTGCGGGCCCGGGCCTTTGTGGATGGGGACGCCGATGCCCACCAGAACACCAGCACCAGCAGCAACAGTGACAGTGGCATTGGGAATTTCAACCAGGAAGAAAGAAGCAGCCGAGTGCTTGTGGTCGACCTAGGCGCCAGCTCCAGCAGGCCTGCCCCCAGCAGCAGCACCTGGGAGGGTGTGGGTGGGCGGGGTGCCCAACCTTGGGGTGCCCCCTGGAATGGGGCCTTTTGCCATGACTCTGAGGCAGGGCCCTCACTTGAGGCCACTCCACAGGCTGACAGGTGCTGGGACTTCAGCAAACATTTGGGGCCCACTTCTCACGCGGAGGTCCCCCCGGCCTCCCTGCGGAGTTCGGTCCCACCTTCCAAGAGAGGCGCTGTGGGCCCTGGTGGTGGGTTCGGCCAGCGGTGGCTTCCGGTCCATGTCCTGCAGGAGTGGCAGTGCGGACATGCCAGCGACCAGGAGTCTTACACGGACTCCACCGACGGGTGGTCCAGCGTCAACTGTGGAACGCTGCCCCCTCCCATGAACAAGATTCCCGCCGACCGCTACAGGATGGAGGGCAGCTTGGCGCAGCCCCTGCTGAGCTCCCAGAAGATGGACTGGTCCAGGAAGGCTTTTGGGATGCAGAACGTTTTTGGGCCCCATCGAAATGTTAGAAAGACTAAGGAAGACAAAAAGGTAAGCCTGCTAGGATGGGTTCAGGAAACGTGAACTTGCTTTGATGACTCAGTGACTAAGTGATGAGATGAGAGCACACCAGCTGCCCCGTGCCCAGTCCTGGCTCCCTCCAGCTGTGGCCTGTCAGCTGTCACAGGTGTCTGCTGTGGCTGTGTGCTGCAGGCCCTGTCTTGCCTGGAGCCCTCTTGGCCCTCTCGGCTCCCTCACGTTGTCTCGTCCCCAGCAGGCCCTGGCTCTGCCGGCTCTTGGGTCCTGGACAGGGCGTCTGGTGGGACAGGCGGCGATAGGAGGAATGGTGACCTCTCAGAGCTTGGGTGAGGTTCTGCTTCCTGCCCTTTCCTGCTGCTGGTGCCCGAGGGTCTCTGGCCTGCCTTCACTCCGGCAGCCGAGGCGGCATGCCCTTTTTTTTTTTTATTATTTATTTATTATTATTTTTTTAATTATTATTTTTTTAATCCTTGAGGATATCTTTCCATTTATCCTCAGATGGAGTGGGAGGGAGGGAGGAAGGGAGAGAGAGAGAGAGAGAGAGAGAAACATCCATGTGAGAGAGACACATCCATTGGTTGTCTCCCACGAGACCCCAACTGGGGCCAGGACCGAACTGCAACTGAAGTACGTGCCCTTGACTGGAATCGAACCCGTGACTCTTTGGTCTGCGGGCCGATGCTCTAACCGCTGAGCCAAACTGGCCAGGGCGAGGTGAGAACATTCCTGAAGCACAGAGACTGTTCATGTCAGGACAGCTTCCCCAAGGCATTGATCCTGGCCCTGTTTCCTGCATCGAGGAAACCCTGCTCCGGGCACCAGCTGAACTCGGGGGGCTAGTGGCTCACTGCCAGACAGCTGGGGACCCTCAGCTGCTGGTCCACCAGTGCCCCTGTGGGCTCTTCGTCTTCCCCACAGGCGCTCAGTTTGCAGTGCGAGGGAGGGTGGCGCCAAGCTGAGCTGCGGGGGGCAGGCGGGCGGGGGCAGGCTCGGGTGGTGGGAGGCGTCCGCTGTCGGGCTCAGTGGTTCCGAAGGAAATCTCAGAGGACTTGAGTGATTTTAGAGGACCGTTTGCTCGCGTTTTGTTCTTGATCTCCGAACTCTCACAAGCAAACCCTCCACGGGCTGTGCACTGGTTAGGGCGGGTCAGGGATAGCAGAGCGCGTGGGTGGGCCTGCGGGCTCCATGGAGGTTCTGTTCAAGGTCCACTCCCTTCCCGAGGCCCACTGTTCTCATTAGAAAGCACAGTAGGGAAAATGTACACATGTTGCCAAGGACAGACTTCCTGGAGTTTGACCTCATGTATCTAAACATAGATCTGTATCTCCTTCAACAGTTCTAGTCCTGTGGGTTCCCCCTGCGGTCTTGAGCTTCTGGTGCCAGCAGTCTGCCCTGTGCCTGCCCCTCTTGTCTGGGTCTGGCTGCAGTCTGCGCCCACCTGTGATGGGGGCCACCCGCCCCCCAGCCTTCTTCAGGGCTTCCACCTGGAGCAGGGTGGGTGTGGGCTGGGGAGGAGGGCCCTGGAAGTGACAAAAATGTTATTTGGAATCGGGGAATTCACTCTCCGCATCCGCAGCGTACCAGTGGGTCTTCTCGTCGTTGCTGTGTAGGGGAGTAAACAGTGGTCTGTTTTGGTTCTCGGTGGACGGCAGTGCCCTTCACGACCATTCCCGTGGGGTCGAGGTGCCCTGGCTGTCACCGGGAGCACTGTGCTCTCTGAGCTTACTCACACGGGGGTCTGAGCCCAGAAACCGGGCGACAGGGATGCTGTGGCCCTTGTGCTGGGAGTGGAGACCTGTCCTTGGGGGTGAAGTGATGTGTCTGAGGATCAGCAGTCAGGGTTAAGCAGGGTCATGACTCAGAGCATTTTTTGAAGACTGTTTTTTCAGAGCAGTTTTAGGTTCCCAGTTGAGAGAAAGGTACAGAGAATTCACACGTACCCTCAAACATGCTCAGCTGCCCCCACTATCAACACCTCCACTAGAGGTACTTTCTTATAATTGACGAACCTGCACTGACAGGTCATCGTCACCCAGACTCCACAGTGTGCACAGGTTCCCTCTTGGTGTTGAACGTCCTCTGGACAAATGTATATGACATGTGTCCACCGTCACAGTCTCATCAGAGTGGTGTCACTGCCTACAGCCCTCTGCTCTGCCTGTGCCCTCCCCAGCCCCCAGCCTGGACGCTCTTTCCGCGGCTCACCGCTCAGCGCTCTCCAGACGGTCGTGTAGTTGGGACCACACAGTGCGCAGCCTTTCAGACTGGCCTCTGCCACTCGGTCACGTGCATGCAGGTTCCTCTGCGTCTTTTCGTGGTGTGAGAGCTCGTTTCCTTTAGCCGAACGAGGCCCCGATGTCCGGGGGGACCACAGTGTATTTAGCCGTCACCCACTGAAGGGCGGCTCAGCGGCCGCCAGGTTCTGGCGACTATGAACACGGCTGCCGACCCCTCCGTGCGCAGGCCTCTGTGTGGACGTGTGTCCACCTCCTGCGGGCGAGGACCAAGGGGCCCGGCTGCTGGATCGTATGGGAAGAGCATGTGCAGTTTCGTAAGAACCTGCCACACTGTGTTCCAAAGTCACTGCCCCCTTCCCGCCCCCCCCCCCCAGCACCGAGTGGGGCTCCTGCAGGCCCCGCCAGCACGCGGGGCCAGGTCTGGGTGCTGCCGGCCCCCCCCTCCGCACGGAGTGGGGCTCCTGCAGGCCCCCCCAGCACGCGGGGCCAGGTCTGGGTGCTGCCGGTCTGGCGGGTGCGTGGTGCTCTCTCACCGCTGCTTCCGTTTGCATCTCCCTGAGGACGCGCCGCGGAGCGTCTTTCCTGGGCTTGTCGTCCACGTGTCTTCTTTGGCGAGGTGTCTGCTCGGGTCTTTGCCCATTTTTTAATTGAGTTGTTTTCTTTTTGTTGAATTTTAGGAGTTCTTTTTAACACATTTTAGGTAACAGTCCTCTGTCAGATGTGTCTTTGCAGGTGTTTTCTCCCCGTCTGTGGCTTGCCTTCTCGTTTTCTTGCTGTCACCTCTCGCGGAGCAGAGCCGTTCCTTTTTACGAAGACCAGCTCAGCGGTGCTTTCTTTCGTGGTTTGTGTCTTTGCTGTTGTATCTGAAAAGGCATCGTGATAGCCGAGGTCATCTGGGCTTCTCCTGTGTTTCCTTCCAGAAGTTTTATAATCTTGCACTTTATATTCAGGTCTCTAACCATTTTGAGTTGCTGTTTGTGCAGGGGTGAGGTTTGCATTGGGTGGCCCTCTGCTCCAGCACCATCTGTAGAAGACTGTCTGCTCCATTGTGCTGTCTTCACTCCTTTGTCCAAGGTCAGCTGACTGTATTTGTGGGGTTTGGGGCTCCTTTTTGATGTTCTTTCACCTTAAAAAAAATGCAGTGAGAAGGCCCAGCCGGAATGGCTCAGCTGGTGAGCGTCTCCTTGTGCACCAGTTCAATTCCCATCAGGGCTCATGCCTGGGTTTTGGGTTCGAACCCTGGTGCGATGTTTCTCTCTCTCTCTGTCTCTCTCTCTTCCCCTCCCTTCCTCTCTCTAAGCATGTCCTTGAGTGCAGATGAAAGGGAAAATGTAGTGCGGACAGTTTGGGCTGGTATTGCTGCACTGTAACAGAAGGGTGGAACAGTGGAGTTGTCCGTCTCTGGTGTTGGGAGATGACAGTGTAGTGTCCTCAGGTTCACGGCGCCGTGGTCTCCCATCTGTGCTCAGATTCCATGTGCTCCCCACGCGGGGACCTTCATTTTGCTTTTACTGTGGTGATGTGAGGGGACACACGGCTGATCTAAATGTAAGTAGTGATGAATTTGGTTTTGTTGGGTCCCTACTATAGCCGTTTGAAATGTGTTGGTTGCTTTTACTTTGCTAAGTGGGTCCCCTGCGTCATTAGTCAGTGTCGCCCCACAGCCTCCTCTGTTGTGGTGCAGAAGCTTCCAGAAGTTGGGAGGCGGGTCTCCTGGTGCCCCTCCTGGCCTGAGCTGGCTGGAGGTGTGTCGGGATGAGCAGAGGGCAGGCCAAAACGGGAAGGAGGAAGTGCCTGGAAATGAGAAATGGAAGAGGCCTTGGGAAGGGGAAGCAGCGAGATGCTGGAGGCTGCGTGTCAGTCGTGCTGAGTCCTGTTTCTCTCAGTCTCCGTGGCGACAGTGACTTCAGTGCCTTACTTTGCACACAGGGGACTGTGCCCGTTGGAATCCAGCCGAGAGACGGAAAACACACTGGTGACGGGAGCAGGAAACAGCATCAGGAGCTGTTAGTGAGGCAGGAGGGCAGCTGCCGGGCGGAGGGGCGCAGCGGCCTGGGCTGCAGGCCGCGCCTGGGTCCCGCACAGCTGGCCGCAGGCTCATCAGCTCCCCAGCCAGGAGGGCTCCGGCTTCCCCCAGACCTTGGAGTTCTTTAGTACAATGACAGGAAGTTGTAAAATTCATAGTAAAAATATCTGGAGAATACTGCTAAGGTCCTTGTGAAAGAGCGGCTTTGAGCTTGACCCTGTGCAGACAGTGCCCATGGGCAATGCCACATTGCATCACTCGTCCCAAATCACAGGGAGGGAGGAAACAATAGCAGCCTCTGCCAGGAGCCCTGGTCTGCGGGATAAACACTCCCCATTAGAGGACAAACCGAGAACGCGCCCCAGGCCCGAGCTGCCCCGGCGCTGGAGCACTGGGCACACGGGACGCCAAGGTGCCAGGGGAGCAGAGCGGCAAAGTACCTGGCCCACCCTTGGAACGCAGGACCGGGCTTCCCAGAGAAGCTGGACAGGCCAGCAGCACAGAGCGTGGGGACACCTAGGGGAGGAAGTCCAAGCAGAGGGACAGAGACAGAGCTGCTGCCGAGTGGTGTTCTCTGTGGTTTTGCATAGTTTCCAGAAGTGAGGATGAGCTAAGTGACCACCGTGTTCACCACAAGTGTTGAAGTGTTTGAGTCCTGGGACAGTGTATTGACTGGTCATTGCTGCTGCTTCAGCTCTGTGACAGTGGCTTTATAACAGCCTCTGTACTTGCTTTTTGTTTTTTTTACC